CTGCTCTTCCGAGAGGCGCCCGGGCGAGCTGTGCGGGGCGGAGCGGGCAGCGGTGGCCTTGGCGCGAGGGCGGGCCACGGGGGCGCAGGTAGGACGCAGGCCCTTCCCCCGCCTCTCGGTTTCCCTTCGCTTGCCGCGGCTTGGGGCCGAGTGCTGCTTCTGGACCAGCGCTGCCTTGCCGTCCAGGACAGTGGGTTGTAAGCTGGGAGGGGCGGAAGGGGGAGTCACTGACCCCTGTGAAAATTTGAGGAAAGGCTTAGATTCTCTCCCCAAACGTGCACACTTTTTTTTTTTGGCATAAAATGTCGGGCTCAGGAGCCTCCGGCGGTCATCCTGGGACTCCAGGTAAAGAACTGGGGTGGTTGGGTCAACACGCGACCCCGCGCGCTCTGCGGCAATGGGCCTGCGTCTCTTACCTTGTCCCTCTCTTCGAGTTCTACGTGCTGCTTGTCGCGCCGGAGAAGCAGGCAGTTCAGACTTTGGATTCTGTGGCTTTGCTTCCTGCCTCGCTCTGTTTCTTTGTGTTTCCAGAGAAACATGAGGGCTAATAATTCGTCCCCCCTTTAAACTGATAATCATTTTTTGTTTGTCAGTGGCTGTCAGACCAGGGAAAAGTGTGTGTGTGTGTGTGTGTGTGTTTTCTGCAAAATGCCTTTGGCTCCTGTGTTGGATTGGGGCACATTTACATTTCACCCGGTAGTGAGGAGTCACCTGTGGAGACCAGCGTCAACAGACAGTGTATTCAGATATATTTCAGAGTAATTTAGTGGCCCCTGTGGATTCGCTTCCTGCGCAACTGCCCAGCTGTCCCATCTCTGAATCGAATTCTGTTGTGTGTCCACTGAAGACATTTAGAGATACCTAACTATGCCGAAAATGTACCCAGTCACTAGGAACTTTGTCCCCTGAAGTTTTCAAAATGTAGTGTTAAATAAATAAACATTTATTTATTTATTTATTTATTGGCATTATGGAGTGGTAGCTGATCCCATGTGACTTCCAGTCATGGCCTTCAGAACCCCTTGGTATCTCTAGTCAGCCAATCTGATCATATTTGTTTTGTGCCTACTCTGTGCCAAGCATTGATCTCCTAAAAACCACAGGTGCTGGAAACATCACAGCTGCGGGCTGGAGCTCTTCTCATTCCCCGTTACAGGATAGTCGTTTCAGCGGAAACTCGTCCTTCATGTTGGTACTTGGTGCTGTCAGAAACAGCCTAATGAATTGCCCTGGGATCTGAAGTTCTCCAGCAGCTTTAAAATTTGGCCAGACACCAATACATAACAGGAGCTGTGTAACTTATCAAACACCCTCTCCTGGGAATTTATTCTAAGGAAATAATTTAAAAGAACAAAGCTATATGTCCAACAATGTTTTTAAGAGCCTGCTCTTAAGAGCCAGAAACTGGCTATCACCCAAATGTCCATCAGTTAAGGAAAGATCAAGTAAACCATGAAAGTTCAGTTCAACAAACTATTAGGTATCCGTTAAAAATGATAAACAGGTAATAGTTCTGTGTCCACTTTGGGCATGGCTTGAACTTGGTAAGCTTAAACCTGTTTTTTTCCTTCTATAAAATAGGAATAATGGTAACAGTAGGGTTGTTGTACAGAGTAAATTAAGAAAAGAATTAAAAATGCTTTATCACAATGATTGGCACTTAGTAAGCACACATTAATTGTTGGTTATAATTACATCAATAAATGGAAAAGACAAAAGTGTGGCCACATTTAACTCCCGTGGACTTGGGGAGGGTTGAGAGAGAGGAATGAGATGTTGAAAGTGACAGAGGACTGTTCTCTGGTGTGGAGCTTTCTGACAGGCAAGAGGCAAGGCCCCGGCGATTTTGTCATCTGGATTGACAAAGAGCAAACTGAAAGAGGAAAGTAAAAAGTGTCCTGGAGAAAACAATCTGTTGTTTCAGGAAAACATTCTTTCTTGAGATACTCTGCTAGGAAACCATCCTGAACATAAGGTTCAAACAGCCCAGTCACTGTGGCAGAAGAGAAGACTGGTCTGCAGGTGAGAGTGGGCTGGGAATTCTTTTTATGCCAGTTCCTAAAAGGTTCCCTTAGTTTCAACAAGTATTTATTGAAACCAGGCTGGCTCATATGTGACAATTGGCAGTATAGGAACTGAAGCCAGAAAGATTAGCAAAACCAGAAGGTGGTAACCAGTGGGTGACCATATGAGCAAGAGTTGGTTTCCTTGAAGATGAGAAAATCGAGAACCACTTCATGGAAGTATTTGTTGTTGTCGTTAGACATGGAGTTGATTCCAACTCCCAGCACCACTGTGGACAGCAGAGCAGAATCTGCTGGTCTTTTTGTGCCATCCTCTCACCTTCCGGTGCTGTATCAGACAATGCTCCACTGCTATACACAGAGTTTTCATGGCCAACTTTTTCGGAAGTGGGTGGCCAGGTCCCTCTTCCTAGTCTGTCTACTCTGGAAACTCCACTGAAACCTGTCCACCATGGGTGACCCTGCTGGTATTTGAAATCCCAGTGGCAGAGCTTTTAGCATCCCAGCAACACACAGCCACCACAGTCTGACAACTGACAGATGAGTGGTGTGGTTCCCTGACTGGGAAACGAACCCGGCACATGGTAGTGACAGTGCTGAGTCTTAACTGCTAGATCACCACATGGAACATATAACCAACAAGAAACATAGCCTGTGCGAATCACAGCACACAAAAAGAAAAGAACCCAAAGGAATCCGAGTTTATCAAAGCATAGTTGAAGGTAGAGCTGTGTAGCTATAGAGTACAATAACAGCAGCAGCCAAACTTTTGGTAGTGAAGATAACAGGAGAATGTAAAGGGAATCTGAAAGACAATGGTCCCAAAAGGACCAACATGAGGTACAGATGATGTGGATTAAGGACCAAAAACACCTTCACACACACACACACACACACACACACACACACACACAAAATGATGAGAAGACCAGTGTTGGATCCTGCTCTCTAACCACTGGTGGCCAAGAAACTACTCATTCCTAAGTGAGACCTTGCCATGTGTTGTATGGACATGCACCTAAATTGTTGGTTGGTAAAACTGCAGGGGATTTTCTTATAATGCAATTTTCATTCAAACTTTAGTTGTTTCCTGAAGCAGACTATATTAGTCTGCTAGGGCTGCCATAATAAAATACCGCAGAGTGGGTGGCTTAGGCAATTTCCTCACAGTTCTGGAGGCTGGAAGCCAAGACCAAAATGTCAGCAGTCTTGCTTTCTCCTGAGGCCTCTCTCTTTGGAGTGCAGATGGCCACCTTCCCCCTGTGTCCTCACATGGCCTTTTCTTCTCTTCTTATAAGGGCAGCAATCAGATTGGATTGGTGCCCCATCCTAATGGCTTCTTTTTAATGTAATCACCTCTTTCAGAGCCCTATCTCCAGATACAGTCATATAAATTAGAGCCCACCTGTATGACCTCATTCAACCTTAGTTTCCTCTTTAAAGGCCCTGTGGCCAAATATGTTTACATTTTGAGATGCTGAGGATTGGGACTTCAACATGTGAATGGGGTGGGGGTGGGGGGCAGACAATTCAGCCCAGAACCCCAGGTTAAAGAAACCTCTTGAAGTGATACAGACTACCGACGTGAGACCACCCAACTAACCATTTGTCATTTTGCTATCAAGGCAGTCTGTCTCCTCTTGACAGAGTCTTCCAGGCTGGCAGATTTGCAGCTAAATGTTGCATAATTGGTGCTTGAGCCGCAACTAGTCTGAACATTGTTGCCCACCCATGAAACCTTTCACACACATTAATAATAGTGTAAAAGGTACATACAGGTAAGGATTAGAAATGCCATGAAAAAGGTGCTTTCTTATTGTATTTACATGAAGGAGTAATTCCTTTGTTTAACAGTTTAAATATTAGTTATAAATTTTAAACTAAAAAAATGTTAGGGCAGAGGGAGAAGGTGAGTGTCTGGAAAACATAGTCACTCTCTAATAGGTGTGGAATATAGAGAGCTGTGGGAGGGGGGCTGGGAATCCATACAGGATTCATGCCTTGGGGTCAAAGGTGAAGCATGGGAGGCCCACTGAAGTTTAGCCCTTCTTGAATTCCCACTTTCTAGTGTAAACTATTCTATTGTGTTGCATGTTGAAAGACACAAAGGGCAATTCTTGTAAGAGACAATTGGCTTTTCTCTGTAGTCACATTCCACTTCCTCCCCAAAAGGTGATAGGAAGATAATGGCAGCTTTATAGCCTATAAATCCCAACCTTAGTACCAAAAGTTGGTCCTCCTCTTAGCTATCCATAGAAATAATGCAAGATCTTTGTCAAAGCCAAGAACACATGTGGAATGACGTACTATGACGGAGACTTGAAGGGAAAGGTCTTTTAAACTGCCTAAAATGGAATGCCTTCACTTCTGTTAAACACATAGTTCACATCCATTAAAACCAGTTCTAAACCCACTTGCTCTTAAAACAACAAAAACACCTTTCCCTGCTAACTCAGCCTAAGATGGTTTCAAAATGTTTCCACCATTCAATTGGCAGTTAAGCGTGCATTGCTTTGTAAAACCTCTTATATTGTCGTCTTGAATAGTTATCTAAAGCTTACGTAGTCAATAAACTTTTCATAATTTAATTGGTCTCCCATATTTGGTCTACTCAAGGTCAAGAATAGCCCCCCAGTTCTCCCCTTTCTTTCCTAAAGCATCAATTTATCCTCTCCACTGGATCACTCCCACCAGCATACTAGAATACTGTGATTTTTCTCATCTTGAAAAAATTGCTCTTGACCTCACTTCCCATTCCAGCCACCTCCAGACCTCCTCAGAAGACTTGTCTCTAGGCACTGTCTCCCTTTCCTTCCTCCTATTCTCTTATTAAGTCTATGCCAATCGGATTTACCCCCACCTCCTCCACCTAAACTGCTCTTTTGTGAGTCACCAGTGATCTCCACATTGCTTAACTCAGTGGTCAACGAGTCATCTCTCTCTGAGTCTTCAACACAGTAAATTATCCCATTTTCTTTAAAATACTTAGCTCCCAGGACACCACATTCTTGCAGTTTCCTTCTCTCCCCTCTGACTGGTCAGCCCCATCCCAACCTGTGTATTTTGGAGTGCTTCAGAGTCCAGCCCTTGGGCCTCCTTGTTCTGTCTACACTCACTGACTTGGGGATCTTCCAGTCTCATGGCTTTAATAACATCTTAAGGCCGAGGAGTCTAAATTTACATTTCTGCCTTGGACCTCTCCCCGAACTCTAAACCCATATATCCAACTGCCTACTTGATATCTCCATTTGAATATGTAATAGGCATTTTTAAACTTAACACATCCAAAAGCAAGCTTCCAAACTTCCTCCTGTCATCTCCCCCATCACCCAGTGCTCGACCAAAAGCCTTGGAGTAGTGACCCTTGACCCTTTTCTCTCTCTCCTGCTGCACATCCGATCCATCTGCACATCCTCTGGCTCTATCCTCAGAATACATCTAGCATCTGACCACTCGAAGCATCTCTGCTACCACCATTCTGACCCAGCTCTTCTCCATCTCTCAGCCAGAGTGTTAGAGCAGCCTCTGTACTCGTGTCTCTGCTTCAGCCTTTGTCCTGCTTCTGTTTGTTTTAGTATATCAGCCAGTAATCCTTTTTAAAATATGTTAGGTCGTGTCATGCCTGTGCTAACCTTCCAATGAATTCCAAACTCTCTCAATAAAAGCCAGCGTCCTTTACAATAGCCTTCAAGGCCCTAAATGATCTGGCCCCCGTTACCTTTCTGCTCTCACTTCCGCTAACCTTCCCCTGCTCACTCCACCCCAGTTGCTCTGGCCTCCTTGCTGTTCATCAGATGTGCCAGGCACACCCCACCTGTTTTTTATTCTTGCCTACAATGCTCTTCTCCTAGATATTCTCATGGTATGTTTGCTCATTTCCTTCAAGTCTTTGCTGAAATGTCACCTTCTTAGTAAGGCCTTTCCTGAGTACTCTCTTTGAAATTGTGTGTATACATGCACACACACACACACACACACACACACACAAATGCATATACACACACATGCTCACACTCTAATCTCTTCTGTGATTTTTGAGATATCACCTAAAGTTCTATATTCTTTACTTATTTAATTTTACCTCTACTCCAATAAGGGCAGTGATTCTTATCTGTTTTCCTTACCCTTGTATCCCCAATATTTAGAACAGTGTCTTGCATGCAGTAGGTGCTCTGTAAATATTTGTTGACTGACTGAATGAAGAAATGGATATTTATTCAATGCTAAGGCACTATAATATATACTAGGGATACATTGAACAAAGACAGTTTTTTTCAGACTTTCAGCTTCTAGTTAAATGAGACATCCAGACAAATTAACATGCAATCATTGTGATTAAATAGGTTTATCATGGAAGTACTGAGGGCTCTAAGAACGCAGGAAAAGCTTGCACTTGGAGGTAAGGGAAGGTTTCTTAGAGAATATAACATATAAACTGAGACCAGAGATTGGAGACTCTCAGTTTCTGGTCCAGCATGTAAGGATCTTAGAAGTCTTCACTCCGTCCTAACAACAAGTAAAAAGCTGAACAAACCATGACATGCTCTGAGTAGCTCAGAGGACTGCAGTTCAGAAGGACTGGAGCATAATGTAAGGCAGGAGTTGAAGGTGGTAACCAAGGCCAGATCATGAAGGGCCTTGGAAGTCACATTAAGGAGTTTGGAATTTATCTTGAGAGTATTATGTTGCATTGAACAGTTTGGGACAGTGAGAAAAAGGAAGAAGTGGTCAGGATAGGTAGAGGGCATACAAATTAAGAGACTTCTGTAATAATCTATGCTGGAGATAATGGGGGCCTGATCCAAGGTAGTGGCCGAGGAGAAGTGAGAATGAGCAGATACTAGAGTCATTTAGGAAGTAGAACCAACAGGGCTTGGTGCAAGGAAAAGAGAATAGTCATGGACAATGGCCTGGCTTTCTGGCTTGAAACATGGGGTGGATGAGCTAGAAGACATATGAGGAGGAGCAGATTTGGGTTGGAGCAGGGGAGGTACATGAAGTCTTTTTGTGCATGTTATTTGAGATAATCAGGAGATATCCAGGTGTTGATTATATGTGGATCTGGAACCCAGTGGATAGATCTCAAGTAGAGGGAAAAATAGATTTTGGAGTCCCCATCATATAGATGGTACTTTAAGCTATTAGATGGATAAAATCACCCACAAAGCAGGTATTGGAGTGATGATAGAGGAAAGCCTAGGATGAATAGACCCCTCTGAAGACATCAGTATTCAAGGGGTGGCTAGAGGAAGAGGAGTTGAGGAAGGATACTGAAAGGGAGTAACTAGAGGGGCAAGAGAATTTGGTGTCATAGAAGCCAAGAGAATAGAATATACCCTGAGAGAGAGGCTGTAAGTGGTGTCAATACTACCGAGAAGTCAATGAGATAAGGATGCAGTGTTCCTGGGTTTTACTAAGAAGTCCCCAGTGAGCTCTCGGAGAATAGATTCAGTACAGTGATGGGGTGATGCTCTGTCCTTCTCAGTGCGTCACACCCAGAGGCACGTGATGTCAGCTTGTCCACTATTGGTGAGGCTAACTTTGCTTACTTGGTTAAGGTGGTGACTTTTAGGTTTTTCCATTGTAAGGGTACATTTTCTTCTTTGTAATTAATCATCTTTGGAATCATATTTTGAAAATGTGTGACTAATCTTCTTCAACAGTGTTTCACCTGGGGGTTTTAGAATCCCCTGATGATGCTTGCTTGAATCAGTTATTATTTTAGTAGTTGCAAAAATGGTGATTTAAAAATTTTTATCATTCCTTCTCCATTTCTTACTTGGCATTCTGCATGATAACTCTGAAAGCCACTGAGCAGTAATAATTGTCACATAAATACATTTTGCTTTGCTCCCCAAGAGATGAGTGCCTGAAAAACTGTGTGTAACTGAGATATATTTCCATAGGGAAATTTCAGAGGTATATTTCCATAGTAAAGAAGAAAATGCCTGTAGCTTTATAAAAAGTATTTAAGAAAGGACAACTTAATATATTTAATAGGTAAAAATGCTTTAATAAAATATAAACAACCATAAGCAATCAACAGTATACACTACTGAAAATACTATATTGTGCAGTATCATAATCTGGTGATGAAGATATAAGTCTTTTCTTGCTGAAGGATTATTTGGGGCAATTTTTTTGGAACCAAAAATGAATTTCAAATATGATTATCTGCCATATTTGCTCTATGGGCTGTGACATCACAGGTGTTTAACATTTCATCTTCAGTGCCGTGGTCAAGTTACTAACCCTTTAGGCCTCTATTTTCTTACTGGTCAGTTGAAGAGTTGGACAGATTATATAATCCTTTCAAATTCTTAATGCTGGATGATTAAAATACTAATTATATATACTGGGCTCCTAACCCCCTTTGACTAAAGACTGTTGTCCTAGTAACTTTGTTTACATGCACTGGAATACAAGTGGTAAGATGGAAACCAGAGGGGTAGAAGAAAGGAAAACAAAATGTGGGCAAAACCATGAAGCGTAAGAAGACATTGTGGGAGGCCTCAGGTCCCCTCTCAGGAGTATATGCTATGGGAGTCTCTTCTTTTTTCCACACAAGAAGATTTTTTAATAAAGACCTCCCCTGACAGACAAAGTCAGAGCTATCTTTACAAACCAGCAAGAGAGAGGAGTTGGATAACCCAAGAGCTCAATGTTCTCCTCTCTCCAATCACTCAGCTACTCCCAGCTGTATCCTGACAGGAAATACCCCTGTGAAATAATAACGGAAGAAGGATCCATTTCTCTCCTTAGGTACCTGAATAGGATTTATTCTGCATTATTTCATTTTTCAGCTGCCTCTTTAGCTCCTGTGCCCCAGTGGGACTAGAAAACTGCCTGTCTACTTATTACTCATTTCTTATTAAACTAATAAGTCAATTAAGGCATTTTGTGTCAGAGCTTTCTGGTCCCTGTGAGGAAGGAAGGAGTGGGAGAGAGGGAAGAGACCGGCTTATTCTCCTGCGTGCTACTGCACTTTAAGAGGAATGCTAAGGAAGAAAAGGTCATTGTGGCTTTTTTTTAATAAAAAAATTTCTATTTGACGATACAGGGTCTCCTACAAAGAAGGAGCCGTCTCTCACCAAGAGTGAGTGGCAAGAGAAGCTGACTCCGGAGCAATTCTATGTCACGAGAGAAAAAGGCACTGAACCGGTGAGCCATGCTGAGTAACGATTTTCTATTAGATGTATTGGGGGGTTGGGGGAGGATTGGAAGAGGTCTGGCTACAAAACCTAACTCATCATCGTCTACTCTACAAACCTGGTCCCCTCCATTGTTCTTTTCAGAGCATCAGTGTCCATCCAGTGGGAGAAACCAGAAACCTTCCTCTGGACACATTGCCCTCCATCACCTCGCCCATCTGTTCTGCCTCTTAAATAGCCTTCCAGTCCCTCAACTTCTCTCTGCTGCTCTCACTGCAGCGCTGGTCCAGGGTCCCACCAGCTCTCACTCCTCAGGCTGCATGCAGTAGCTCCAGCTCTTCTACTCACAGCCATTTTTTTTTTTCTTGAGGTCATATTGGCTTATTACATTGTGTAATTTCAGGTGTACGTTGTTATATATCCGTTTCTGTATAGACTGCATCGTGCTCACCACCACTAGTCTAGTTTTTATCCATCACCATGCGTATGTGCTCACAGCCATTCTTGCTCCTCACCTCGCCAGTCTCCACACGGCAGCCAAAGAGAGGTTCTGAAAACACAAATCTGACCACATCACGCCCTTGGTCAGAATCTTTCGTGCCTTCCCACTGCTGTCAAGGTAAAGAGAAAGTTTAAAAATGGCTAATAAGGCCCTACAGGCTCTGGCCCTGGCCTACCGCCCCCAGCCTCGAATCTGGGCTGTTTTTTCTCTTGATCTCTGCACTTTGGCCACACTGTCCTTCCAGCTCTCAAGCACCCTGGGCTCCCTTCCCGCTTAGGGCCCTTGAACTGTGTTCCTTCTCCTCTCCCATCACCCCCACCCCACTTCATTCAAACCTACTGTTTGCTCTCAGCCCCGGTCTCCCTCCCACAGGGAAGCCTTTTCTCAGCCCCAAGCTGGGTTCACTTCTCCCAGTACTTTTCCATCACAGCGTTTGCCTTCCTTGGTATATCCCTAGCACATAACGTGGTGCCTGGCTACCGTAGGCACTGAAAAAGTAAATTTTTGTGAATGTTGAATGACTGCGGGCTAAGAGGTGGAAACGTTATTTAAACTGCATTCAACAATCTCAGCTTTCATTCACTTCCCAAACGAACGGTCCTCAGTGGGTCCTCATTATAATACCATTTTTCCAGCACCGCGTTTCTTAACACGTGGTCTGTCTTAGACCATGTATAGCCTCTGGAGTTTAGCTGTTGAGCTTGGTTAATTAGATGCTTTCATTTGTGAAGCAGACCCCACAGAGTGGACCACAGCACAGTGGTTTTGCAAAGTCGTAGAGTATTTATATTTTTACTTTAGCAGTCCCTGCAAAGCTCAGGTAGCTGTCCCGTGCATTTGGCCTTCTAATCATGGTCTTACCCTCAGCTTCTCTGATGCTAAAGTCGTTAGATAGGCCAGCAGATCCTAATAGATTCTTGTGAAATACTGGTATTTTTGAAAACTTCCTGTGGGTGGGATTTTAATAAAGCCTTCATTGGGAAAGAGACTACATTAACCATTATTGCAGATAGCACAAGGGAGCCACATATGATGCTCTGTGTGCAGTTGTGTGTATTCCCAGAATATTCTAAGCCAGCCCTGTTCTCAGGAACAGAGCCAGGCAGGGTTTGGTATATCTACAGAGCCTGGAAATGAGCTGCCAGATGTTTAGGAGAATAAATCTGTGGGATTCTCAAACAGATGGTGCAATATACTCTGTGCATTTGGCCATTTTACAAAATGAGCATCATCCATTATTTTAACTAATGTTATAAATCCCTTTCAGTTGATCCATTTTCCACATTTAATTTTTTAGAATATTGCAGAACTGTAAGCCTTAGCTTCATGAGGCTAAGGAAAGAGAAGTAAAACATCTAAGCTTTAAATTTGTTGACTCAAAATTAAAATTCAGTTACACATGTTTTTCTTGGGCAGCAGTGACATGCCAGCACTCTGCTAGGTATGATCAAGGAGCTTACAGCCTGGCTGAGCAATAAATAAAAGTCAGATATCAACAGAAGGTAGGTTTTATGCAGGCTATCCTTTGTCCGCCCCCCAGATCCGCTCCCACATGCTCTACTCTGCTCTCAGCTCTGGGAAGAGTAACCAGCTCCCTTGCCCTCTGGCTACTGATGGCGTTTGGCCAGTGGGAGATGCCAGTGAGATCAGAGGGCAGGATAGAGAAATGAGGATCCGGGGTCCCCTCTGGGACTGTGTTCCTCTAGTGCAGGTTGCGGCTCCTGCAGGGAGCCCTCACCTACAGCTGCAGCCTCACAGGTTCTGGTGACTGCCCTTTTCATTTGTCCCCCAGGCCTCATATGGGTCATGTATTCTTATGGTCACTGGCCCACGGGTGCTTCACCCTCCCTTGTTGGTTTCCATTGGCCCTGTCCCCACCTTTGTAAATAGTTCTGTATGAAATTTTCTCCAAATCATCCCTTTTGGGTGTGTCATCTGTTTCCAACAGGTATGTTGTATTGACAAAATCAAAGAAGAGAGAACTCCCATTGGTCCCAACAGACTGTGGCAGTCAGCTCAGGCTGCTGTAGCAGAATACTGTAGACTGGGGGGCTTGAACAACATACATTTATTTCTCACAGTTCTGGAGGCTGGCAGTCCAAGACCAAGGTGCCTTTGAATTCAATGACAGGTGAGAGCTTTCTTCCTGGTTTTCAGATGGCCACCTTCTTGCTGTATCCTCACATAGTGGAGAAAGAAATTATCTCTCACATGTCTCTTCTTATAAGGGCACTAATCCCATTCATGAGGGCTCCATCCTTACGACCTAATCACCTCCCAGAAGCCCCACCTCCAAATACCATACATTAGGGATTCAACTTCGACAAACGTTCAATCCATCACACAGACCTTGAAAATCTAGGGGGCATCTCGAACATCATTCCATCTCTGACCCTGTCCCCCTCCCTGCACAGTCAGTCATTTCAGTTCTCTCTTCTAAATAGTTCTTGAATCCATCCTCTTTTTATTCCACTCCTCCTGCCACAGCTAAATCCAGGCCTGCGTTGGTGGCCGTTTGATGGTTCTTTGCCTCCAGTGTCTGCTTGCGTCCACTCCAGTCTGTTCTTCACGTGAATGTCATGTGCACACCCAGTTGAAAGTTTCCAGTGGCTTCCCATTTTCAGTGGCATAGAGTTTAAACTCTTTAGCATGGTCTAATCAAAGCCCCTTCTGGTCCGGCCCTCCCTGCCTTCCCAGCATTGTTCTCCATTCTCCACCTTCCCCTGTTCTGTCACATGGGCAGTGCCTAGGCTGCTCTGCCTGTCAGAAGTGCTGTCCCATTGCTTCATGTGGTTAACTCTTACTCATCCTTCAAAACTCAGCTTGGTGTTTCAGCATTTTCCTATAATAAATATTAATCAGCTGTGTAAATAAAAATAATAGTAATAAAAGGTGAAAAAAAAACACCCCTGAACTCAGACATTACCTGGTACAGAGAGCCTTCATGGAAACTCCCTTAGTCATAACGGGACTCGTGCTACCCACACCCCCTGCTAATCGCCCCAGCAGAGCTGTCATCTCGTGGTGGTGTGACAGCTGTCAGCTCACGTATGTCTTCCTGACTAGGGAACAAAATTCTTTGAGTGCAGGCACTGTAGAGTTGGATATTTTTTTCCCCACTTCTGCAGCCTTAGCTCCCAGCCCAGCACTGGGTACATGCTAGATTTTCAAGTAAATACTAGAATGAACAGTTGAGATAGGAGCTGAATTTGGCCCTAAATAAGTGACAGGACTTGTATAGAATTGAGGAGGGGGGAGGGAGACATCAGGAAATCAGGCAAGGACACAGAGCATAGATGTCATTTCATAAAATATGTCAGCTAAGGATTCCTTTTCATCTGAAATTTTCTTTTACTATAATACCAATTCCCTGTCACTTCCTCTGTCCAGCTGTCCCCCACAGTGACATAATTATATTTTGAATCTTATCAGGCTGTCTGGATCCTATGAGTAGGCTTTTCTAGATCAGCTTCAGGACTGGTGGCCCTTGGCGTGTGTGTCTCATCAGCCCAGGTGGGAGGGATGTGCAACTTCCTCTTCGTTACAGATGCCAATTCGTGCCAGCACTGGGAGCAAGCATTCGGGAGGATGGGCCATACAAAGGCCAGCTTACCACTGTTCGGATTTCTGCAGCTAAGTTTAGGGTCTTTAGAGAGGGAAAACGTCCAAATGCACCCAGATGGTTGGCTCAGTAGGTTAATTTAAATCGTCCATTATGCAGCTCACTGAAAATGTGCTATTAATACGACCACAGGGAATTCGAACATCTGAACTGTGAATTTTCCAGTGGGGACATCCGGAGAGGGCAGAGCGGTCCAGCTTGTTTCGTGAGTCGGCTCTGTGAGTCGAGAGCCACTCTGTGGCTCAGCAGCTTCTCCGTCCCGTGAAACGGGAGTGTGCTGGCCACCAGACCCTGGTCGCGAATCTTCGTAGTTGGCTTGTGCAAGAGTTTCTTTTACTTTAGTTTTCTTTGACCTGGGAGATAACAAAAGGAATTGGGCAAAAATGGTCGTTTGTTTTCTTTTTTAAACAATGAGATACAGTTTGTAAAATAACATTTACAAAAATATTGACTCGGCTCACTCATTGCCTTAAGTCTCCTTGTGTTCCCCTTGGGAGACTGTTGAAAAGCTGGGAACTCCTGAAGCCACAATTAACGTGGTAATTTCATCTAAGTAGTAACTTAGGCATCGGGAGAATCTAGCTCCTTATTTAACATGTATTAGGTATGCAGTGTCCCAAACACCACATGAAGCATATTAAGGGCACAACTCCGATCTCTTTTATTTATTTATTTATTTATTTTTTTGGTGAGGAAGATCAGCCCTGAGCTAACACCCATGCTAATCCCCTTCTTTTTGCTGAGGGAGACCGGCTCTGAGCTAACATCTATTGCCAATCCTCCTCCTTTTTTTTTTTCCCCAAAGCCCCAGTTGTATGCCATAGTTGTACATCCTTCTAGTTGCTGTATGTGGGACGCGGCCTCAGCATGGCCGGAGAAGCGGTGCGTCGGTGTGCGCCTGGGATCTGAACCCCGGGCCGCCAGTAGCGGAGCGCGTGCACTTAACCACTAAGCCACGGGGCCGGCCCCCGATCTCTTTTTATGTATTTTTATTCTGTCTGTAAGTGGAGATTTCAAAGTGTTTTAGACAGTTGACTAGATTCCTATTGTATTAACTCTTCTGAAATGGAGACTGAAATCTCACACAATCAGGAGGACTGTTCTCTTGCCTCTTCACAGACTTTGATGTTCATGGATGAAAGGTGCTATTTAAATACAAAGCATTGTTAATGTCATAATCTGAATATTTGGCACAATAAAGTCCGGGTTGTAAATAGGCCCGCAGGCTGCTCATTGGGTGCGTTGTGTTGTAAGTTTCTCTCTGGTGATATTTGCACTTTGTCAAATTAGTACAAAAATTCCTTTATTTGGGGACTTAATCTTGGATTTCAGTCTGCTCTATCATCTCCTGCTGGTGTAAGGAGAAACCTGAACATGATGTATCTGATTGACTTTCAGCCTTTCAGCGGGATCTACCTGAATAATGAGGAATCGGGAATGTATCACTGTGTGTGCTGTGACAGCCCACTCTTCAGGTAAGATTAGCATCAGGAGATACTGAGGGAGGACAGACCTCTCAATTCAGATGGCTCTGTCTCAGTTGAGGCCTTGGGTAAATATATACACATGTTGTTTTTAATTGCCCTTCTCATTTGGCACAGTTGCTATAAAGAGAGCTGTTCATGTAAGATTCTTGCCTGTCTTGATTATTTCTAGCATGTAGAATAGTTAACAAGACTTCTTAACCTATATTCTTCCTTTCTGTATTCCCAAGAAATAGCACAAAAATAAAACTTAGTGGGCACCTTAAAATAAAGCTATTAGAATTTTTTCCTGGGAAAGTATTTAAAGAAATCTAAACCATAATAGTATTTGCTTGGCCACGTGATTAAAGCTGTATCTCTCCCAGGGAAAATGGGTTTATAATTTAATTTAAGAAATATAGAATTTTATGAGGATGGATTCCCCACAATGCTTGACAGCAGTGAATACCATGCCCTCTTCTATGTAGCTAAAAGTAAATTTAATTGTCCCTTGATTTCAAAGCCTCTTTTAAGTCAATCAGGATCTGAAATCTCTCAACAAAGGCTTTTTTGTTTAGACATGCAGGAAACAGTCTAAAAAAAGTAGATTCGATGGAGAAGAAAAGAAAACATCTTTTGAAGTCCCGTTTTTCAGAACTTCAAAGATGTTTTCCTTTCTTTTGCATCAACCCTAAATTAGTTTGGAATAAAATATAAATCAAGCCAGCTCTGGGAATCTTCCATCAGGCATTGCTGCATTGTGTCTTTTGGGCTGTGAGCAGACTGGGCCGCTGGCTGCTCTGTGGCCTGAATTTGGAAATCCAGACCCCGCCTGCAAGGATAGGAAGGATTAGGAAGGATGCTCAGGGAGGGGCAGGCCTTTGCCCAGATCCGTTCACTCTGTCAGTGCCTGGTGAGGAGGTTTCTAAGATAGCCGTCAGCCCAGGGTGACCTGGGGAGCCATGGGTTAATTTTGACACAGTAAAATGCAGGATGCATGTTTCTGAGATGTTAGTTGTTGCTTGGCCTTTGGTTCTGTTGAAGAGGAGAAGTAGGACCTTGAGATGGCCAACCTGCTTTTAGCTAATGAACCGAGTTGTGAAAAGGTAGAGGACTGCCCTGTTACTACGTGGTAACCGGACAGACATTCTGCCTTTGTCTTTGGGCTATTAAAAGAAGGGATGAGATGTCATCCTTGCAAGAGCACACTCCTACATTTTAGTCTTCGTTTTTTACTTCACTGGTGGTCCAGTTTCTGCACCTATAAAGATGACACCTTCTTCCTACCCAATGCCCAACATCCCTTCACCACACAGGCTCCGTTGTGGAATCACAGAATGTTGGAGCAAGGAGGGACCTGAGAGACCAGAGCAGAAAGCTCTGTCCAGTAGAACTTTCTACAATGATGGAAATGTTCTATATCTGCACCATCCAATATGGTAGCCACTGATCACAGGTGGCTATTGAGCACTCGAAATGTGGCTAGTGTGGCTGAAAAACTGAACTTTTCATTTTATTTAATTAATTTGAACTTAAAAGGCCACCTATGGCCAGTGTCTACTGTATTAGCACAATGCTAGTCCAGATTCAGGAAGCTGAGTGACCAACCCTGGTCACTGAGGTTGTGAAGCAGCCAAGACTCACCGGGAAACCAGCCCTTTCTCCAAAAGCCATTTTGCCAAGTGGCCTGTTTACTGAACTTCCAATTTGCCAACCTTATTTATTTCTTTTTAATCATTTAGTTGAAGTTTCCATTTTCTTTTTTTAAAGACTTTTGAGTTTGTTCCATTTTTGCTGCTGCTGCTTCTGCAGCTGGAACTGGGAAAAATAAGAATATATTCATAAGAATCTTTTATGTTCCAGAATATACTCTTCTTAAAGATGCATTCGTTTATAAGAGAGACCATGTAGCAGAGTGGTTAAGGCTGCCTAGAGGTATGTGCTGGCTCCATTGCTGTGTGACCTTGGCAAATTTCTTAACCTCTCTGTGCCTCAATTTCCTCATCTGTAAAATGAGCATGATAGTAGTACAGAATTCATAAGGTTGTTGGGAGGATTAACTGAGTTATGAGTCAATATATGTAAAAGCCCCAGAGCAATGCGTGCCACATGCCAAGCACTCAATACATGTTAGCCATGATTTATTCTTAGAGACAGACCCTGCTTAGGCCTATATACATGAATGTGTCTTTATAATGAGGAATTCTTGATCTCTAATTAATGAGAATCTGTAAATGAAGACTATATTCCTGAGCATGCTTCCCATTCAAGAGGATAGTCTTAGGGATATATTCTCATTTTCCCTCTCTCTCTGTCCCCAGTCTCCAGCCTTAATAATAGGAGCAGGGATAGAGAAAAAAATAAACATTCCTTCAAATGCTTGTATAGAGTCAAAATGAGGTGAAAAGTCTGTTGGCCAAAACTAAATAGTTAAAGAGTCAAGAGGACGTGGACCACTGCCTCTTGACAGCTGGGCTCATTGCTGCCTGCACACTTCCCTTCACGCCGAACCAATATGGCGCGCGTCCTGGGAGAGCTGCCGACCCTCCACATCAGAGACCTTTCATCCAGGGTTTCTGGGTCAAGAACACTCTCAGGATGTTATCACTCCCCTGGGGACTCCAGACTGTCGCTTCATTAGCCTTGGAATTATGTGACTTTGTCCCCTCCCCTGCTTCCTCTCTTCCCCCTCCTTCTCCTCCTCTCACAGGCCAATTCTGGAAGCCTTTATTAAAATCTTCTGTGGGATCACATACTTCATGGTCATAAATCGGCTTAGAATAAAAGGAACCAAGAGCCTGATATTAGTTCCCTTCTTATGTAACTTCCTGGTGTCCTACATGTTGCAAGTAACTAAGTAACATTGTTTAAAAACCTTTGTGTGCGCCCCGACCCTTCCTTCCATTGTTTGGAAATTCTTCTAAGATGCTAGAGTTGTCAGTTACCAGCGGGTGCCTCTGCTGTTTTTTGGAGGCTAAGGAATTTCCAGAAATGAAGAAAAAAACAAAGCAAATAAACACATAGCAAAACTAAAGAAATACTTCTAAGAGTATATGAGAAGAGATGATCCAGAATGGTTTTAGGTTTTCAAGGGTGGGCCTTATAATCTGATTATCATTTAAATATGTATATTGGAATTTCTAACCTTAATATTTAGGTTCCCAGTCTTAAATATATATGAGAGGCCTCTTATATTACCTGGTAAAATCTCCAGATTCTGTTAATTGCATCAATAAAGGTTTATTATTTCCCATAAAATGTTTTAAATGACTTTTTATTAGTCTTAGATTCATTCATTAAAAAAAATTTATCATATTCATAATTCTCCACCAAATTCCTTTAATGATCACTAGTTTATATATAATGTTGAGGGTGGAAAGGCTATGATGAAACGATACTTAAGATGTTTTTCCCTGGGCCAGAGTGGCTCAGATGAATACTTTTGAACCCTTGGAAAAGGATTGCAAAGACCCAAACCTAAATGTGCAGATGCTTTTAATTGGACCCACAGCTGTGTGGATTTGTTAGATATCTGTTATTAATGATAATGATGATATTAAGAAATAATAGCTACTGACTTATATGCCGTGTTTCCGACACTATGCTAAAGACACTATATAGAGAAAATATCTCAGTTAATCGTCTCAGCAACCCTGTGAGGTAATAATGCCATTGTTGTCCTATAGATTAGGACACTGAGGCTTTAAAAGATTAAATAACTTGCCAAGGTCGCAGTGATGTAACCAGCATAGCCTGGATTCACACCCAAGTCTTTTAGAAGGCAAAGCCTGTACTCCTCAAAGTTATACCTGTGGCTCTCAAAGTGTGGTCTGAGGGGCCCAGGAGTTCCTGGGACCCTTTTAGGGGATCTATAAGGTCCTCCCTTCTCTAACTGCACATCCGCAAGGCCGCATCCTCTTCCTACACTTCAGTCAAAGCAACACTGCAGCAGATTGAATGCAGAAGCACATAGGAAGATTCAGTTGTCTTTTTCTTAAGCTAGACATTAAAGAAATTTTCAAAATCATAAAACAATGCAGCTCTTCTCACTAAATGTTTCATGTTGGAAAATATAATTATCTGTCATAAAAATGTTATTTATATTACTATGTAATAAGTTTATTATTTTTAAAAATAATTTAATGCATAAATGTTTTTTAAATTCTCAGTTATAATTTCTAATTTGTTAAATATTGATATACATAACTCATATAAACAAAAGCTCTCAGAGATCCTCAATAATTTTTTAGTATAAAGGGGTCCTGAGACCAGAATGTTTGAGAGGCTCTGCATGACCCTAGACTGTCTCTGCTGGGGTGTGACTGAGCTCCCTTCTGTGTTCATAGTCTAGGGATGTGATGACTCACCACTTTTTCTCCTCCTTGCTGCTTTAACTGTGACAAGACAACATCTTTAATCGTGAAGGTTCAGTGGGCAAAGTTTTTTGCAGAGTTTATAATTCACTTCTTCTCGCTCTTCCTTAGATAGAGAGAGCCATCTCCCTGCCATTTAAATGTTTTAAATATTTTCCTAGTGCCATTTAAGGGAGCTCATCTTTCAGAGCACTTACAGTGGGTCTTGGGTGAGTAGATTTGCTTGTTGCCCTCCTCCTCCTCCTCTTGCCGGCTCCTCTGGCCTCCCCAGCCTTCAGCATCATTGGTGAAGGATGAGACTGCCCAGGTGGTCAGGCTTCCCTGCAGTGATTGACACAGGGTGCCCAGGCTTATTTATTAATAATAATCATCACAGTGAACATTCATGAGCGCTTACCACGTGCTCCACAGTGTGGCTCCTTCAATCCTCAAAACCTCTCCATGACGTAGATATGATTATCCCCGTGTTACAGATGAGGAGACTGAGGCTTAGAGAGGTTAAATACCTTGCCCGATTTCCACAGCTGAAAGTGGCAGAAGCAGCCTTTGAATCCCCGCAGGCAGCCAGACTTCTGTGTTTAGATAACCCCAAGTTCCTCTTGCTGAAAATGGATCAGCAAGATCCATTTTCAGATCTCACACTTCTCTGATACGCCAAGTTCATGATGCCCTCCGTCCACTACTATTATCTTGTTTTGATTTCCCCCCTTTTGTAGGTTTAGAACACTTGGATTTGGCCTGTGTTTCCTAAAATGCAACACAGTTCACAAAACTCCTAGTGTCTTTAGGTCCTTGTCGGACATCGAGAGAGAAGCCTTTGGCATCAAAGGAACAAGAAGTCCTTCTATGTGACAGGACGATGTCTTTAATCATGAAGGTGCAGTGGGCAGAATTCCTGGGGGACTGATTGTTCGCAGACCTGGCCTTGGGATCTGGCAGAGGAGAGAGGGGCTCAGATCCTGCTCTGTAGAAAAATGAGCTGGGGCATAAAATGCTGTTTGTGTGCTCATAAGCCTTAGCAGCCGTAATGTCATGACTGTCTTCCACAGTTCTGAGAAGAAGTACTGCTCTGGCACTGGATGGCCTTCGTTTTCTGAGGCTCATGGGACGTCTGGCTCTGATGAAAGTAACACCGGGATCCTGAGACGTGTGGACCACTCGTTAGGATCACGAGTTCGCACGGAGGTTGTCTGCAAGCAGGTGAATTTCTTTGTTTTATCTGTTTCGTTTCCTCCAATGCTGCCCCAAGTGCCCTAAAGAGCTCTTGTATCCTTGGCATAGCTGGTGGTATTCCATGGGAGTACTTTTGCCACCAGAACACATTGGGTTTCTCCTCATGCTGCTTCTGAGCCCTCTCGCCCATGATTCTGGGCACTGCAGAGAAGAGAGAGAGCCTTCCTGAGCCACCCTCTGAAGTAGACTTCCCTGCTTCTGGCCTTCCGGAGATGGAGCAGAGTGAGCATAAGAGTTGGCCCGTCCCATCCTTTTATACAGGGGCAAGCAGCAGGAGGGCCCAGTGTGGTTGGCATCTCTCCACCCTCTTCCCCACTCTGCAGCATGTCACCAACAGTCAGAGTGACACTGCAGGTGACATCAGCACATTATCCCTTCTGTGAGCCCAGTAGGAGAGAGTGGCTTAAATCCAGACAGCAGATTCATTTTGATATCCTTGGGTGTTTAAATTTTCTAGTTTTGTAAACCACCAGAGGCAAGCAGACAAACATAGCATAGTCTTGTCTTCAGTAAAAAACAGTCATGATACACTGGCTACAACAACATGATTGAGTACTTACCAGGAACTGCGTTAACACTTTACATGCATTATATCAATTAATCATCCCAACAACTCTATTAAACAGGTATAATTATTATCCCCATTTTATAGATGAGTAAATCAAGGCCCAAGTTAAATAACTTGCTCCCCTTCTCACTGATAAAGTAGAGAGCTGTCGACCACTACTGTGCTCTGCATCTTTCATTTCTTAAACTCTGGTGTGATAGACCTTTTCCCCACACAGATGTCGAACACGGGAGTGGGGTGGCCATGGGGGTTCATCTGTCTCGTTTCACGTAAAGAGCTTTGTCTCAGTGGAGAACTGACAGAGGCTTCTCTCCTTGCAGTGCGAAGCTCATCTTGGCCATGTGTTTCCTGATGGACCTGGGCCTAATGGTCAGAGGTTTTGCATCAACAGTGTGGCACTGAAGTTCAAACCAAGTTCAAACTGAAGTTCAAACCTGACTACCTCCAAGAGCCCCCTTCCCTTGCCACTCCCTCATTTACACACTCAGTGTTCATAATTCATGTGAATGATTTGTTTTATTTACTAGGCTAAGTTTGCTGCTGGCACTAAGCAAGTCACAATTCTCTCATTTATTTACCTGAATCAACTCAATGCTGACTCCGGCTTTGACTGGAATTTCACAGAATGACAGAGGGGCAGCCATTTCCGTCGAATTGACCTCTGTGGACTTTGCCTGAGATCAGAGGGCGTGACTTTCTGGGGACATCAGGAAGCTGATGCACTATAAGCCAGAAAATTCTTACAAAAGTACTCTGAACTGTCCACTGGGGTTAAGTCCTCCCTGGACTTACATAGGTGAGGGATCCAGTGAGAAGAGGAAGGAAAATGTGGGATTAGAGTAAGCCACATTCCCAGCACTGAAGGAAACACGGAGGAGCAGGATTGGGGAAGAGCTGTGCTCTGGGAGGCACATATGGTGATGGATGGAATGCTTGATTCTTTTTCAAAATTTTATAATGTCTTGAACATTCTAGTTCCAACCTTTCTGCCTGCAAATAAATTCCAATGGGAGTATGTTAGATTTCTGTGATAAAAGATAAAAGTGGCTACAAGGTTAAACTTTAAAATGTTCCAATAAAATATTTTCTAAAATTCATGTTTGCTTTTTGTCTAAGTCTATGAATTTGCTCTTTTATAAAAATGACTCGAAATCAAATGCCAAGAAATAATTAGGTCACAAAGTAGTTGGCATTTGGTTATACTAACACTAATAGCAACTCATGTGTTCTACAAATTGAGTCTTGAATAATTTGTTATTGAAAGTGTTTAAATCATTTTCTTTGAGACTTTATGGACAGAAAGGAAGTTTAATTATTCCATTTTTCTCTTTATTACCTTGTTATGCATTATTTAACTCTTGTAGAGGTTACCTTGGAAATCACAACATGTATCCTTAACTTGTTAGTCATGAAAATTATTACTTTTTTCTACTTTTCTGAGAATGCTAACCTTAGAACACCTTAACACCATTAACACCCTCCCATATTTTGTGTTACTATTGTTGTGTATTTAATTTGACACACATTTTAAGCCTGACAAATCATTATTTATGTATATGTTGATATTCATTTATATTTACCTACATATTTGCCCTTTTATGTTGCTCTTTATTTCCTCTTGAAATCCCGTGTTTCCCTGTGAGATTATTTTCCTTCTGCCTGAAGAAGTCCTTTTGCTTTTTCTTGTTAGTTCATGATTCCTAGTGATGAATTTTTTCCAGTTTTTGTTGGTGAGAAAATGTGTTTATTCTCCTTTCACTTTTTTAAGTTTTATTGAGGTATAATTGATCTACCAAAAAACTGCATATATTTCATGTATAAATTTTGATAAGTTTAGCCTCCTTTCATTTTTGAAGAATTATTTTCCCTGGGTATAGAATTCTAATTTGGAGAAATTTTATTTTAGCATTTTAAAGTTTCGTTCCTTTGTCTTATGGCTTCCATCTCCGGTTTCCTCTGAGAAATCAGCTGTCTGTGCTGTTGTTGCTCCTTTGTGGGTAAGGTGTTCTCCTGCACACACTCCCCGGGCTGTTTTTATAATTTTCTCCTTTTATCTGATTTTCAGCAGTGTGTGATGTGCCCTGGTGTGGTTGTCTTGGAATTTATTGTGCTTGGGGTTCACAGAGCTCTTTGAATCCTAGGTTGATACTTCCATCAGTTTGGGAAAATTCTCTTATTCTCTCCTCACTATTGCCTTTTCCCTGTCCTCTCTCTCCTCTCCTTCTGGAACCTGAATTACACAAATTTTAGACCATTTATTGCATCCCACATATTTCTAAGGCTGTTTTCTGTGTTTTCCCATCCTTTTTTCCTTCTGTGCTTCAGTTTGCAGATTTTCTGTAGCTCTCTAATTTACCCGTCCTATCGTTTTGCTTGTCTAGTCAGCTTTTAAACACATCTTATGAGTTCTTTATGTTAAGTGTTGTACTTTTTTAGTCCTAAAATAACCATTTGATTCTTTTTCTTTTTATGGATTCCAATTTTCTGTTGAAGTTCTCCATCTTTTCACCTATATGACCCCCCCATATTTTTAATCTCTTTTCTTGAACATATTAAGCATAGTTTTTAAAGCCTTTGTTAGCTAACTTCGCTGACTGGATCACCTGTGAGTCTGTTTTTTCTTTTGATTTTCAGTCATGTGTTCTTTTGGAATGTCTAGTCATTTTTTAATTGAATTTCAGATATTATGCATTTTTTAAATATTGCACTCCCAGCTGATGTTACCTTGTTCTAGAGAGGGTACACTCTTCCTTGTGCTAGGCAGATAGTGTTGGCTACTCATTTTAATCCAGAGACTGTGCTAAATTGTACATCCAGAGGCTGGATTGTACCCCTGATGAGGCTCAGTCTACCTATGTTTTACGCCTGACCTTCCAGGTCTAACAACTGAGAGCCTGTGTATTCTATGAGGCCCCGTCTCCTAAAACAGTTTGAACTCTTAATCTCTGCTTGTGAAACTGCTGAAAAATAACGTTCTGCTTTTCAGAGGCTTCCCACCTAGGGTTTCAGCATCCTGACCCACGCAGATCCCATATTCATCAAATGTGCTAAGAGGAAAACAAGCCATTTACTTGAGGGCCCCAAGTCTGCTAAATGCTCTGCTCATTTCTATGTCCCCTAGCAGACAGACGCCCTTTGTGAGTACAAAGCTCAGATTCTCTTGGCAGGGTTCAAAATTGGCAAATGATCCCAGGATAAGTGGCTCTCTGGGGTTCTTCCCTCTCTGGAGTTGTGGTAGGCAGAAAAATGGCTCCCCAAAGATATCCATATCCTAATCCCCAGACCCGTGAATACATTACATTTCGTGGCAAGAGAGTCTTTGCAGATGTGATCAAGTTAAGGACGTTGATACAGGGAAATTATCCTGGATTATCTGGGTGGGCCCATTCTGATCACATGAGACCTTAAAAGTAGAGAACTTTTCCTGGCTGGGGTCAGAGAGAGCTGTGATGATGGAAGAATGGTCAGAGAGATGCTACATTGCTGGCTTTGAAGATGGAGGAAGGGCCACAGACCAAGGAATGTGAATATGTGAGTAGCCTCCAGGAGCTGGAAAAGGCAACATTCTCCCCTAGAGCCTCCAGAAGGAATGCAACCCTGCCAACATCTGTTTTATCCCAGTGACTCTTCAGACTTGTACATAACTGTGAGATAATAAATATGGGTGGTTTTAAGCCACCAAGTTTGTGGTTATTTGTTACAGCAGCAATAGAAAACTAATACGGGAATCTTAGCCCCTTTACTTCTCATGACCTCAGAAGTTTCTGCTGCCTACGGAGAGCGAATTCCTGTATCTTTCCAAGCTGTTCTGGTTGTTCTGGATGGGAATGCTGGTGTACTGCTAACTACTTCATTGCTCCTGGATAATAGCTCACAATTTTTAGTCTCCAAAGCCTTTTAACTTTGCCCTCACAAACACCCCTGTGAGGAAGACAAAGACAGGATGTTTATTCCTGTTTTGTATTTGAAATGGAAGTTCAGGAAGGTTAAGTGAATTACTCAAAATCAGGTAATGAGTAAGAAGCGAAGTCAGGGCTACAACACAGGTCTCTAGACCCTGTGTCCAGTCCTCTTTTCATTATTCTAGTCCCTATTACCCACAATCAGAATCAAGGACTCCTTTTTTAAAAATTATTTATATACAATAAAATGTACATATTTTAAGTGAACAATTTGCTAAACGTTAATAATTTCATACAATCATGTAACCTCTACCACCCAAGATATAGAACAATTCCCTTACCCTAAAATGTTTCCCCTTGCCTCTTTGTAATTACGCCCTCCCCACCCCTGACCCCAGCCAACTACTGATGTTTCTGTCTCTATAGCATTGCCTTTTCTATAATTCTTTATAAATGGAAACATATGGTATGTAGCCTTTTGTATTTGAAGCCTTTAACTTGGCCTAATGGTTTGAAGATACATCCATGTTATATTGTTTTGTTCCTTTTTGTTGCTGAGTAGCATTCCATAGTATATCCATGGGTAAACAGTTTATCTATTTACCAGTTCTTGGACGTTTGGGTTGCTTCCACTAAATAATGCTGCTATGAACGTTGGCATACATGCCTTTGTGTGGACATACATTTTCATTTCTCTAGGAGTGAGAGGTATGTTTAACTTCATAAGATGCTGCCATATGTTTTTCCAAAGTGGCTGTTCCATTTTATATTCCCAGCAGCAACAAATGAACATCCAGTTGCTTCACATCCTTGCCAACACTTCTGATTTTTCCCCTACAGATAGCCAATTGCCTTAGCATCATTTGTTGAAGACTTTCTTAATTTCCTTGACATTTTACCAAAAGTTAATTTAGCATACAAGCGTGGGTCTATTTCTGGACTCTCTATTCTGTTCCGTTGATATGTCTATCTTTATGGCACTTATACAACACTGTATTGATTACTACAGCTTTTTAGCAAATCGCAAAATCAGGTAGTGTGAGTTTTCCAACTTATTCTTTTTTAAAATTGTTTTAGCTATGCTGGTTCCTTTGCATTTCCATATCAATTTTAGAATTATTTTGTAAATTTCTACCAAAAAACGTACTGGATTTTAATTGTGTTTGTATTGAATATATTAGATCGATTTGGGGAGATGGACATCTTAATAATGTTGAGTCCTCTGATCCATAAGCCTAGTATATCTCTCCATTTAGTTGTCTCTTTAATTTTTCTTTAAATACTTTGTAGCTTTTAGTTTGTGGTCTTACATATATTTTGTTAAATTTGTCCTAAAGTATTTTAATTTTCTTAATGCTATTATAAATCGAGTTGTTATTCACATTTCATATTCTAAATTATTTACTGCTGTTATATAGAAATACAATTAATTTTTGTGTTTCGACTGTGTATCCTGCAACCTTGCCAAACTGACTTCCTTGTCTTAGTCCTAGTGTCTTTTTTCTGAATTCCTCAGAGTTTTCTGCAGACACAGTCATGTTGTCTGCAAACAGGACTGTTTTACTTCTTCCTTTCCAATCTGCCTTTTATTTCCTTTTCCTGCCTTATTCACTACCTGGACCTTACAGTACAAAGTTAAATCAACTTAGTGAGAGTGGATATCTTTGCTTTGCCTCGTTCCTGATTTTAGGTAAAAAACATTAAGTCGGTCATCATTGAATATAGTGTTAGCTATACGTTTTTCATAGATGACCTTAATCAGATAATGAAGACTTCATCTATCATAGTTGCTGAGAGATTTTATCATGAAAGTGTTGATTTTTATCAAATTTTTTTCTGCATCTATTGAAATAATTATATGATTCTTCTCCTGTATTCTATTAATATGGTGAATTACATTGATTGATTTTCTCATGTTAAACCAACCTTGCATTCTGAGATAAACCTCACTTGGACATGAGGCACATTATCCTTTTTTTACCTATTGCTTTTTTATTTGTTAATAGTTTGTTAAGAACTTTTGCATCTGTGTTCACGAGTGATATTGCTCTGTATTTCTTTTTTCTTGTGATGTCTTTGATTTTGTAATCAAGATAATGTTAGCCTCATAAATTGAGCAGGGAAATGCTCCCTCTTCTTCTATTT